GTGGTAAACCATTTACCTCTGTATTTGTAGTTGAAATCAGGAACATTTCAAGTCACTCGAAGTTTAAGAAACTTGATAGAAAATTTAAGGACATATACTTCACAGAGAGGAAATCTGTGCAACTGGAATAGTTAATAAACCCAGAAAATAAAGAGATTCACGTATATAAAAGAGGTCAATGCCATATTAATTATAGATAGAAGGATGTTGTTAGTAGAGACTTTTTACCAAGGTTTATTATAGAAATATGGAAAATTGAACATGCAATATTCCAGGTGTGTTTTTGTTATTTTCTACCTTTTGATATATAATCAATATTAACTATTATCATTTATATATTTTTGGATTAATTATAGCAAGAATCAGTATCACCTGAACCAACTAAAAATAATATACCACACAATTGTTCTTACTATTCAGAAACCTTAACTAGCATATATGATATGATGAAACATATTAAGAGTAATCATGTATACAAATGAAAATATACTGATTAGTATATAGATTAGACTTATTATTTCCAGAAAAATGCATATTTATAGATGCTTTTTCAGTATAATAAATTTAATAAATAAAGTATCTATTCATTTCGCAGGTTATATTGGTTTGTAAAACATGAATATTTCCTTCGTGCTATTTGTAATTATACAAAAAATATATATGGTATGTATTTTTCTGAATATATATCAATATGATCATAATATTTTGTCATGTTTTTTTTATATATGATATTTAATATGGTATTATAATTATAATAGTGGGTATCTAACTTAGAGGAAAAAGCTTGATCATGAAATCTCATTTATAATTCCAATTAAAACATTTTGTTGTAGTATTTATATAAACAAACATTTAAACATATCTGTATCTTATATAAAACAATAGGAAACTCCAAATTCGAACTAGATTTATTGAAACAGGAGAATGCTAGACTTATGGCTAAAATCAAAGAATTGGAACAGATCGCAAAAGAAAAAGATGAACTTGAGGTTAGAATTGCAGAATTAGAACAGATTACAAAGTTAAGTCAAACAGAAAATGCTAAGCTTAAGGTTGAAATTGCAGAATTAAACCAATCTGTTAAGAATATCAAGAAGCAAAATCGAACAGTTTCTAATAATTTAAAGTCTTCAGAACATTCTATTTCATTGCCCAGCAAGAATTGCAAAAATGCACAGATTACAGACAAGTCAGAG